CCCAGGGTAACCTATTCTACTTCTACGAGTCTTAGACCAATCCATTTGGGTTCTCTGCATCACAGGTATGAGCCCCAAGCTATTCGACCTATTCGATATCTACGACTCCCAAACCAATCTATTCGATTTCTGTGTCCCAGGGTAACCTATTCTACTTCTACGAGTCTCAGACCAATCCATTTGGGTTCTCTGCATCACAGGCTGGTCTGTGTCCGACTTCTAAAATTCCAAAACGGATTTAGCAACGTTTCGAGCCTAAAGACTGTCAAGTTTCAGGATAATCGCACGGTTAATTCGATAATTGAGCAGGAATTTAAATGCAAACTCGTTTGGATCAGTTTGAAGATTCGATTGATCCATTGCAGCGTGCATTGTTGCATTTCTGATCGTTTCTATCGATTGCCAGCTGTACGAAGGAGCTCGTTCCGCGTTATATGGCTGTCACATGACGTACATCATGTTCTACGATTTAGTGGTAGTCTTTGCCGAATTTCAACGATCCCGGACTAATCTTTATTGCGTTCTGCGAGTCCTTAATAATCTCCATCGGGTTGCACGAGTCCGTAATGATTTGTAACGCCTGGCCGCTGCTGTCACGTAGTCTACATCATACCTTACGAACCCGAGGTCGCCTTTATTGTACCCCGCACGTTCTGTTTGTTCTGCATTGCGTATCGCAAGTTTATGGTTGCCGAGTTATGGAAGTCTCTTGTCACCTACGAGTCTATAGCCACGTTCCGTAAGTTACAAGAGGCAGACACACGTGGAGACCTCTATCTAGAACAGAGTTCCTCGACTTCGCTCGTGTATTATATCAGATTCACCCGGAGTTTCGTGCAACTGATTGAAAAATGTCATCCTAGCATTTTACCACTCTATGGAGTCTCGTTTGACTCTACTCGTTGACGCAATTTGACTGCAATAGCAGAAGTCTCTGTTCGCGGTTCTGTCAGACTTTTAGGTTCCTCGTGCTAAGCTATTCCTCACTCTGGGAAACGATTGGACAAATATTATCGACAAATAACACCTGGAATATTATCCTGATCAGGCTCCGTGTAATTCGATTCCCTGTCCTCTTCGTATTCGCACCCATACACGTCTACGTAGCTGTTTGCTGTCATAATACCGGCTGTGCAGGGACATCCTTGAATGTGACATGGAAAAATCACGTAGTCCACACACAGGTTGTATTAAGTCGTTATTTCTCAACTGATAAAGCGGTTAGACGAGCAATTTTCATCCTCGATGGGCTATAGAAATAATTACAGCTTCTATTTTCGCATCTCTCTTCCAGCTGGTAACCCAGTCTTAATACACGTGTGCACCTATTCCTTCTTGAATTATGCCCGATGTTCTTAGGCTAGTTTTACGTGTAACGTTGCCTACCGTGTCTTTTCCGTGTATAGTTTTCTCGAACTCCTAGATTCTTGAGAACTGGCAACTTCATCAGATCCATTAGCTCCTTAAACTCTCCAGGTTTCTCAAATCTACGGGTAAGCGAGACTGTCAAGTCCCTAGATCCTGCCAGGAAGTTACCAGATATATCACAGACCGCAGGGACTTCAGCGATGCTCAGATCTCTGGACCAGAGGCATCCAGTAATCCCAAATTCGCAAAATCACGGAAGTCCCGACGATTATTCGTCCTTTTCGATCATCAAACTCGCGAAATACTCTGGTCCTCGAAATTTTTGAATCTGGAAGATGATCGTGTTCGATCCGGTGGACTTGGAGTCCACTTTCTCGCGTGTAGCTTGAAACAACGAGATCGAGTTCCGTCCTACTTCACTGCCCCAAGCGTAAGTCCCAAGTCAACTTATTCCACGGCTAGGTATCCTAAGCCAATGTCTTCGTCTTCAGCTAGTTCCAATTTATCCAACCGGACCTCTGTAAACCTCGTGGTAATCTGTTCGAAGTCTGGGAACCTCGGGTCGCCAACCTATTTAATTCCTGTGTGCTCTAATCCCATTTATAACTCGTTCATCTTTGACGAATCTTTCGAAACAGATCAGATCCTTCGGAATTTGGCAAATCTCGCATTACTCGGTTTCTATAAGTCCCGATTTATTTCATTCGACTTACACGCTAAGCCAATGTTTCGAACCTGCTCACGCTTCGGTTCAATCTGTTTAACCTTTATGAGCCCCAAGCTATTCGACCTATTCGATATCTACGACTCCCAAACCAATCTATTCGATTTCTGTGTCCCAGGGTAACCTATTCTACTTCTACGAGTCTCAGACCAATCCATTTGGGTTCTCTGCATCACAGACTGGTCTGTGTCCGACTTCTAAAATTCCAAAACGGATTTAGCAACGTTTCGAGCCTAAAGACTGTCAAGTTTCAGGATAATCGCACGGTTAATTCGATAATTGAGCAGGAATTTAAATGCAAACTCGTTTGGATCAGTTTGAAGATTCGATTGATCCATTGCAGCGTGCATTGTTGCATTTCTGATCGTTTCTATCGATTGCCAGCTGTACGAAGGAGCTCGTTCCGCGTTATATGGCTGTCACATGACGTACATCATGTTCTACGATTTAGTGGTAGTCTTTGCCGAATTTCAACGATCCCGGACTAATCTTTATTGCGTTCTGCGAGTCCTTAATAATCTCCATCGGGTTGCACGAGTCCGTAATGATTTGTAACGCCTGGCCGCTGCTGTCACGTAGTCTACATCATACCTTACGAACCCGAGGTCGCCTTTATTGTACCCCGCACGTTCTGTTTGTTCTGCATTGCGTATCGCAAGTTTATGGTTGCCGAGTTATGGAAGTCTCTTGTCACCTACGAGTCTATAGCCACGTTCCGTAAGTTACAAGAGGCAGACACACGTGGAGACCTCTATCTAGAACAGAGTTCCTCGACTTCGCTCGTGTATTATATCAGATTCACCCGGAGTTTCGTGCAACTGATTGAAAAATGTCATCCTAGCATTTTACCACTCTATGGAGTCTCGTTTGACTCTACTCGTTGACGCAATTTGACTGCAATAGCAGAAGTCTCTGTTCGCGGTTCTGTCAGACTTTTAGGTTCCTCGTGCTAAGCTATTCCTCACTCTGGGAAACGATTGGACAAATATTATCGACAAATAACACCTGGAATATTATCCTGATCAGGCTCCGTGTAATTCGATTCCCTGTCCTCTTCGTATTCGCACCCATACACGCCAAGTGGGACGTCTACGTAGCTGTTTGCTGTCATAATACCGGCTGTGCAGGGACATCCTTGAATGTGACATGGAAAAATCACGTAGTCCACACACAGGTTGTATTAAGTCGTTATTTCTCAACTGATAAAGCGGTTAGACGAGCAATTTTCATCCTCGATGGGCTATAGAAATAATTACAGCTTCTATTTTCGCATCTCTCTTCCAGCTGGTAACCCAGTCTTAATACACGTGTGCACCTATTCCTTCTTGAATTATGCCCGATGTTCTTAGGCTAGTTTTACGTGTAACGTTGCCTACCGTGTCTTTTCCGTGTCATATTCTATTCTTTCTTGCCAAGAGACTCCCTATAGATCCTGGGTTATAGCGCTAGTTGGATTACAGTGTTCTCTGGATCCCACGACTCGACAGTCGAAACAAGATGGTGTACCTCGCGAACGTTGGCGGGACCATTCATGCATGATCAATCGCGTTTGTTCAACGAACGAACTTCTTCGAAATGTTAGTTTCTTTGGTTGCTTCTGTGGAAAATAGAGGGGAAAAGAGGAAATAGTGCATCAAAGTGTTGGTTATTTTATTAGCTCCGGCTAGAGCTCTTCGTGCATATCAGAGGGGTTTTAATATTCATATTGTTATTTTACCAGCGTTTGTTATTTTGGGGCGCAGTGAAGTTTCCTGAATTCTATTTGAATTTCATTCGATAATTAAAGACTTCGCAATGGCGTCATATAATTTATTATTTATTATTCTAGTATCTCGAAAGTTACACTTTCTTTCTCGTTAAAATTATATTATATAAAATAATTGCATCCGTTTGCAGTGATTTTTGGAAAATATAACTGTCGATAGGATAAATATCAGGTAAGGATAATAAAACAAATTAATAATTCTGCATTTTACGGGATGATGTGGACCAACCAAATTCTCGGATGCTCTCTCGTATTTTTAATTTACTTTTTGTCCGTTTTTGTTCCTAAAAACTGTTCCACGGTGTATTTTTATACGTTTTATCTTCGTTTAACGTTTCCCTTTTTTGTTTATTCGGCAAATATCGCCGTTAAAATTCGATGCAGGGGAACACAGGATCTGCGTGGAGCGTACTGATAAATTTATTCTTGATTTTATATTCCCGAGTAACGAGGTCAAGTTCAACGTGTGCTCGTCGAAACAGAAATATTTTCGTCGATACAAGGTTAAGAAGTGCTTAATATCGAGTGTGTAACATCGATACCCTAAATGATTGCACAGGAATTTTCCAATCATCGTAATTTCCCAAACCATCCTTCAACGTGAGATACACTGCCAGAAAAGAAGTGTGTATACAAACTATGCTATACTAACACGAAATCTCTCGTTTCATAAATTTTCTTCCTCTTCATGGCTTTAAAAGAAATTGCTATAAATTCTGGAAACCATAATTACCTCGATAAATGTATAGTCGGTGAAAGCGATATGAGATCATATATAATAGTTGGTGGTCAGGTATTAAAATTTACCTGCTTCAAGCATCAATTAAGGCTGTGACCCATGTTCATGAAGTCTCTCTTCGTCTGTCATATATTTGACGAAATTTCAAGAGTAAATTTTAAAAACGTTTAATTCGAAGAAATTGATTTCCCGGTTAATTAAAATTAGTTTAAATTAATTAAAATCCCAGTGCTAAGAGCCAGTACAAATTTTCGCCCTACTTCTTCAGACACCTTGCATTATGGACGTAAGAATTGGACTTCATTAATCAGGGTCATCGTTTAATGTTTCTATGTTCTCCGTCGACTGTTATCTTTCGTTCTGCATCTGCAATGATTTAATAACTATTTCTGCAATTATTTCAGATCGATTTACGCCATACTTCAACGGCCAAACATTTAACACGATGCAACGTTTTCCTCTGGAGAACCCGCTGAACTTGAATTTCTCGAAAAATGATGCTAACTGGACGTCCGAAACCAAGGTGAATCACGCGTAGATATTACGCTCATTTCCATGTTCGACTAATAAGTTCACTTATCTGAGAAATTTGTTCCTTCGGTAAAATCCTCTTTTACTCCGATACATTCAGCCTTTGTACGCCTAGGTGGATTTATCTTGAAGTAGGTATCTAGTTGATTCAGTTTCCTTGATTCTCACTAACGTAAGAACGTCTGACGAAAGAAGAGGCAAAATTTAAGTGGGGAAAAAGAAATAGAAAATACAACATATAACGAAAATTAAATTACAATGTCTTTCGTTCTAAGTGGATAGTAATGATTTTCAAAAATCAAGAAGACTAGCTTTACTAAATTTTTTATTATTCTTTTAATAATTTCTTATAATGTACATTTCAAATTCGATTTATTTACAGATCAATATTTTCTTTTTTTTATATATGTAAATATATAAAACTATTGTTTATATACATTTGTTTTCAATTTTTAAGCAGTGTTCCTTTAGAAGTACATTGGAGTTCACGGAAGATTTAGTGTAATAGTGCTGGATATCGTTCGTTTCCTGTGTAAAGTAGAGTTATTTATGAAATTACCTATTGGCCAAGAATTAATCAAGATATCGAATGTAAATCCACTGCAAAGGCTTAAGGCAAGCTCGTAATCGCCTTTAAATATTTCCATAGAACAATAGTGTTGTAATGCAAGGTTTGAAGTAAACACGGTACAGCAGGATAATTTCTCTTTCCGCCTCTTATGAAAGATGAAATAATGAAACAAGATCCTTCAACTTTAGCATTACTCAAATATAATTAATGGCACTGTTGAGGAGTACGGTTGAAGTAACGCGTACGATCGTCCCTGTTTGAATGCGTGCAATACATTGTCGTAATTTACGTAATGAATTGCGCAACGTAATCTACACATCAATGCCGATCAAGTTGCTACATTTCCTCAGATGAACTAACCGCTGTGCTACTTAAACCGACGCATTTATTATCCATTGTAATAATTTTTGAAAAATGTAACATTCGAGCCAAAGACCACGTACAGTGGAAATTATCCATATATTATTGACCATTTGTGGGATCTAGAAGACTTTATTTATCACTAGAAATAGTTATTTGTATTGCACACTTAAATATAGTGTACGTAAATATGATTAATTGAGATGGCGTAGCGAAGATAAAATTACTAGTAAATAACTGCATATAGTAATGCTTGAATTTGGATACAAGACGCCATTAATTTCCCCCGAAAATACTTTTCAATGATCGCAAGAACAGGGAAATGTTTGAAAGCAGTTACTTCGAGATTAGATTAATGCAAACTAAAGATCATCCTTCTCTTCAAGGTTATCAATGGAAACATAGTTACCACCAATGAGACAATCTACGCAGGGAATAACAACTACAGCACCTTAGTTATGCGCATCCGTATAATTGAAGTGGAACCAGAGAACGACACGAACCCAGTCGCCGAAAACGATGGAGGCTTCGAAGTGGTCACTCTGCCCACGGTTACCGAATCTACTTCTGAAACGAACACTGCAACCACCAACAAAAAGAAGAACACTTCACCTACAAGAAGCGTGGAGACTGTCGAAGAGTTCGACAACGAGATATCGAAGGATCAAAACCCTTTAACGGCTTGAGGCAGCTGAGAAATAATCTAAAAGCATAGCGTCAGATTTATTGAATCCGAAAGATCGTTCCATCTATGTATCATCAATTTTCTATGAAAATTTCATAATTGGTTTCTATATTGTATCCTATATCTCGTCTATATACTGTCTTCGAGAAGCACCGGCTCTTAAAATTCGTAATATTCACGATATCTATACCAACTTTCCACTAAATGTAGTTTGACTAATATCGATAAGGAAATTTAAGTAATAATTAAACTTGAGGTATAATTATATAGTAATTAATCGAAATAATACGTAACCTTCGACCTTTTGGATGGTGGCTGTACATTACCTTAATTATATCGTAATTCAGTATATATAGGTATATCGGTATAATTTACGGAATAATACAATGAAAGTGATAAAATAAATGTATGGAAAATAACGTAAGATTTCCGTCCGTGACGTTCTTTTGGATTCAAATTGACAATATTTGCGTATGGAAAAGTGTAAACTATTGCGAAGTAACAAAATGTCGATTATCGTAGAGTTATAGAGATGATACACATATATATGTTATACGTTCTTCTGTAGTTGTTATACATTTAAGATCACCTATAACGAAATCGATTGTTGTAATGTTCAGGGATGTTGCTCCTTAAAGATGAACGCATGAATTATATTACATACATGTAGTTTCGCATACGAATGTCGTATAAATTACCAACAGTAGTGAGACTATTACAGGTTGTATACTATGATATTCGACAGTAAGGAATTTCGAAAGAGAACGGGAACATGTTTCTCCTAATCTTCTTTTTTTCTTTTCTTTTCTTTTTTTTCATGAAAATATACCGTTAGAGATGCCTTTGTTTCTTCGGGATTCTCTTTCTTTCCTTTAGTCTTACAAGTCACCTCTTAGGAAGAATACATGTACCATACAATAGAAATTTTATACGTGTATTCATTTGTAACGGTCAACCGTATTTTCCTTATGCTAATAAATCCTTAAAAAAGCGTTTATAGATGTGCATATGTAAGTATATCAAGTGATGAAAATGTGCAATTTAATACGGAATAATTTCAAAATATAGAATGGCTGTTTTCTATTCAGCCTTCGACTGAAGAGGGACCAAAACAAATTGATAGTATCTATTTTTTTATGAGATCGGTATAACTTAGTGAATTGTTTCGTATAAAGACGATTTTTTAACGAAAGATAATGTTAGCATAAAAATACATATTGTTGGCACAACCTCTTTTTTTATTCGATTTATCCTACAAGATTTTTATTCCTGTTACATCCTGTTATTATACTTAAAATAAAAGTTGAAGTTAATTTTAAACTTTGCATTGAAAAATGTTATTCTCATTATCATATTAATATAAGTTTGTTTGTAGTTGTAGCACTGTATAAATAGAAAAGACAGGTTTCTCCTCATTGTTCAGCTAGCAGTGAATTAAATATTATTAGTATATTAAATAGGGAACAAATATATAATTAAAGATTAGTGATAGATACTTAATTTACTTTTATTTTTCTTTCTTTTTTAAATATCCCATTTAAATTGTAAATTAATTGTGTAAAATTATCCTAATTCTGAAAATTCACAATTGCTGAATGGTTTTAGTGTATCTAATAAGTTTCAAAGTTCAGACAATTATTTATAAACATTGAAATCGATTAATAACAGTGAAAATTATAAGAATAAACAATGCTTAAAATTTAGTAATGAGATTTAAAAATCTCATTGAGATGATCAATATTATTTTCATAAAAAATTTATAACCTATCGCGTCGTTTGATATTTTTAAAATTATTAATAATTTCTAACTCTGGCTATTAATGAGAGTAGCATAAATATTTATCTCGTGTTTGAACGAATGAAATTCAAAAATTAAACTTTATCATTGATGTTAGTAATAATACTAGTGATATTTTATTTCGGTAAATGCACAACTTGACGTCTGACATTATCAAGAATAAAGAAGCAAAAGTCACTATACAAAGTACACCTGTCATGTGGACGTGTCCGTTTCAATCTGTTGATACGTTTGCTAGAAAATATTTTAGATAGATAAGAAATACGTGTTTTTAAAATCGTAAAAGTGTAAATCCGTAAATAAATTGAGAATGCAATGCCAGCACGTAGACGACACGTTGGCTCCGAGGTAGACCATGATTTCGTGATCACAACCTCAAACAATTCTTGGCGGAGCAGCACTACAACTCAACAGTATAACCATGAAAGTGAAGGGTGTGATTTAACGGAAAACGAAAGAAAGCAAGCAAATATCACACCACCAACAATGACATCGCGCGACAGGACTAATGAATTCGTAAATGCCATCCGAACGATGCAAAGCAGAACCGCAGCACGAGCAGCGGTTTTACAAAATCCTCGCCAAGCACGTCAATTACAGAGTTATTCGAATTTTATGATAATGGCTAAGAGTATTGGAAAGAATATAGCCAGCACGTATACGAAACTAGAAAAGCTTGCTCTATGTAAGATCGCAATGATCACCTAATATTATTCCATTTCATTAAATGCAACATGTTTAGAACATACAATGACACAAGAATGAGATTACAAAGTAAACCTACCAAGATGAATCGCATAGCGCAATCTAAAATAACATACTGCATATTTTTTTATTATATAGAAAAAGTTTAATCATCATAAATTATGCCAATTGATTATTTGATTAAAATATTTCTGATCGATCCACAAATTTCTTTTTCATTAAATTCTTCCATTTATATTTGAATTCTTCTAAATCTTAGTTTTGCTAAAAAGAGATAAATATCTAAGAATTATAGGCATATAAATCACATTCTATAAACATCAGATATAATATATATTAAAGTTCAAATATGTTTATAACAGCAGTATGTACTTATTAAACCAATTGTTTTAGTGGCAAAAAGGAAGTCTATATTTAATGACAGACAAGTGGAAATTGAAGAATTAACAAATATTATAAAAACAGATTTAAAGTGTTTAAATCATCAAATAGGAAATCTACAAGAACTTAGTAAACAGCAACGGGAAGAATATGGTGCATCTCAAAGTCATCACATGGCATCGCATTCATCTTCAATTGTTATGGCCCTACAATCAAAACTGGCAAACATGTCAAATCATTTTAAAAGTGTACTTGAAGTGAGATCAGAAGTATGTAAAAAACAAAAAGACAAAAAGAATAAAATTAAATAATAAATTAAGTAAATAAATAATAATCCTCTTGAAATATATAGAATATGAGAGAGGAACAAAGTAGAAGACAACAGTTTACACAAGGATCTGTATCCACTATGTTACCGCCAAGTGTTGCTGGAAAACAGGGTTCGTTATTATTCCAAGAACAAGATTCTGCTTCTTCTGTAGTTATAGATCTGGAACCAGGAATGGGACAATTAACAATGCAACAAGCAATCCAAGATGACACTGTGAGCTATCTAACACACATAACAAAATGATGAAATAATAATATTTTAGAACAAACAAATAAACATGCTCATTTGGTAGGAAGCATATATTCAATCAAGAGCAGAGACAATGCAAAGTATAGAATCTACCATAGTTGAACTCGGAGGAATTTTTCAACAATTAGCACATATGGTTAAGGAACAAGAGGAAATGGTAGAAAGGTAAAAAAAGTAACTTTAATTATGTTTTATAAAATTTCTAATTACAAATTTTAAATTTGCTTTTATTAGGTAATATTTATATAAATCATAATTAGGCAAATGTTAATATATCTTTTTTGTGTTGTCAATAATGAACAAAATAATTGGATTTATTACATTGAATTTATTCATTGACTTATTGCAAAATTTTAATAAACTTTCAGGATAGATAGCAATATAGAAGATACAGAATTGAATGTGGAAGCAGCACATGCAGCAATCTTAAAATATTTTCAATCTGTAACTAACAACAGGTGGTTAATGATAAAAATATTCGCGGTCCTTATATTTTTCTTTATATTTTTTGTAGTGTTTTTGGCATAAAATGATTATTGTACTATTATTATTATTATTATTATGATGCATATTTCTTTGTGCAACTTTGTAGTTGACCATCCATATCCATTATTTGTGATATAAGATGATCGAAGAGCAAGATGAATTTTTATAAAATTATGACTCATTAGCTATATAGTATTAATATAATCATTGCATTCCTCGACCTCTTTGTTGAAATGTGAATACTGTAAGTATTAGTTATTAAAAAGTCCATCAATGTAGACAAGATACTACATTGTTGTTTATAAAATGTAAAAAGAAAGCTAAGGGTAATAAATATATAATTTTCAAGGCTTGGTCATTTTTGGTGAAGATATATATGCAAATAATAAGAGGGGTTTATAAGAGATTATAAAACACAACATAATAATAAATTACAATTTATTTCAGTTTTTTAAAACCTTATGTAACAATAGTATTTAATCTAAATTCATATTACAATTTATTTCTCGTTTGAATGTTTTATGAAAACAATGAATTTTTTAGACTTGAACAAAGAATTATATATGTATAACTATATAAAGAAACATTTTTACAATTTATTCTATATTTCAATACATCCCTAAGGAATAATTAAATGTATATGTACAATTTATTTTCCTTCTTCTTAAAATAACAGTGATGATTAACAAATGTATTTTTCATAGCAAACCAATTATGAGTTTATCACATTTGATAAATATTATATCAAAATGCATAAATTTTCGTTTTACAAAGTAGTAAATGCTGATTGTTCTATTAGTATATATTTTACACCACTGTTATTTATTCAAATTTTGTTTTATAATTGATTATCCCGTAGCTACAGTGACGAGTTTAACGTATATATGATGATATTTTATAACAAAATAAAGGACTCAAACTTTGCTATTATGATGAGATTTGTCCAGTGACTCTCCTGAAGAATGTAAGGAACCTGTGAATAATAGTGAACTGTGAATAATATGTTTACCCTTACTGTCAATTCATTTTAATTATTGATGACAAAAAGAAAATGAAAAATGCAAGTTATGAATTAAAGAAGAACAGTAGTAATTGAAGCTAATTCGAAAATGTTAAATAAGACAAACTTAGATATTTATTAGTGTCAAAATATCAAAATCAAATCACAGGTTTGTATCTTTCAGCATGAATCATTATTTCAATATCATAAATAAAACAATGAAACATCGATAAAGAATATCAATATTGATAGATTTGTATATGGTAAAAATTCAAAGAGTTTGTGATTCAGTTTCGATATTCTACGCGTATTCTGTACTGGCAAATAAAAGAAAAACATTCTGCATTAGTAGCAAAACAAATTCAATCTCGAAATCATTTCAACCTGATATATTGCAATTATTTGCAATTATTTCCCTCCATAGTACTCCAAAATTGTCTCACTTTAGAGAATCGCTTGCGTCCTTGCATGCACAACAAAAAAAGAGAGGAGAAAATAATAATGATAAAAAAAAGAAAAGGAAAAATATCATTTCAATGAGTATGAAATCAACCATTGATAGATGTGCCAGTTTCTTGGAGTTGCTTGTCATCTTATACACAAACCTTTGTGATTTCGAACTCGTTCTCGTTGCGTTGGATGGAAACCAGAATTGCGTGGAGGCGGCAGTGATTCTTCACCCCATGAATGCTGCGTTCCAAGGGGTGGTGGTAATATCGAGCCAGGTGGAGGTGGTGGAGGTGGATGAATATCACTACCAAAAGGGGGTGGAGGTGATCTATGGTTAAAGGGCGGAAGTAAGTGTGGAGACATTGGCGGTGGGGAACCTGCGTTTTCGTACCCTCTTGAAGCAGGAGGATGAAGAGGCATAGGCGGTGGTGAAGATAAGCGACCACCCAATGGTGGTGGTCGTTGGCTAACTTCGTATGGTGGTACTCCGGATGTATTTGGCAATGGAAGTGGTAAATATGGAGTAAACAGTGAATGTAAATAGGGTGGTGGAGGAGGGACACTCGAAGAACCAGAAAACATTATGGGAGAACTGGATGATTCTGCTCCTATGAATAATGGAGGCGACGTTGTCGTCTCTCCGTTTGCTTCCAACCCTGTTTGAAAATCACGTTAAGAAAATACAATTTTCTACATTAAAATATTCTGCAGTACCATATGAGTTCTAAAGACGTACTTATAATAAATGGACCTAAGTATTTTTAATACCTCTACCCATGATAATATTTCGGTGATTAAATATATTCGATAATGGACATAACAAATTACTGTGCCATAATTTCTACCAATACTACATAAAAAAGTTATAATAATTTACAAAATTAATGTAGCAAGACAACCTACAACTTGAAATATACATTTTACAATACTTTTTTATTTTGCCTTTTTTTTAAATTAATGTAATCATGACTATGAAATTACGACACCAAAACAAAATCTGACAGACATTGAATAGAAGAAATGTTTTTTCTTACACTTACGATGTAATTTCGCCTCAGGGTCTACATCATTAATATTTTTTTCTATTAATGTAAGTCGATTCCGTAACTGTCCCGCTTCGACCTTTGATTCCTCTAGACGGCGCTCAACTTGACGGGCTATCACCTTAAAGTAAGATTTAATCAAAGTATTAAATCATATTTTGAAACTATATTGTCTACAAATATTATAATGAAATCATTTATACCCATTGCTCGTGTGCCTTTGTTTCAAAAAGAGAAATCTGATTTTTATATTCCCTTTCTTGATCTAATATTTCTCGTTTTAACACCTCTGTTTGTTGTCTAAATGCAGTTTAAAAAGTTTTACAGTAATCGTAAAATAAATTCTTCATATAATAAACACTTACTTATAGTTTTGTATTTCATTTTGCATTGCTTGTATTCGTTCTACAGTGGATACAACTTCACCCTGCTGTTGTAACCAAATAGCTTCTTCTCTATAAAAATATATAGAAGTAATTGATAGTTTTTCTTCAATGAATCAAAAGAAAAAATTATTTTATGCTAATTAATGTAAATTTCAAATACTTTTGACGTTGTGCCTCCTTTTCCTCGAAAAAGTTTGTTAACACCTCAAGTCGTGTTTCCGCATCTTTCTTTTCTTTTTCTGCTATTTTACACTGTTCGCTTAAAGTAGCTATTTCCTCTTTAACGACTTTTACGTGTTCTGTAATTTAAAAAATTACATAAAATATCATATAATTATACATAATACTTCCAAATGTACCTTCTAATAAATCGTGAGCTCCTTCAACCTCAGCTAATCGTATTTTTAATTCGTTTCTTTCTTCAAGTAATGTTGTTGCTTCTGCTTTAATATGGGATACATCATATAACTTGTCCAAATCCAAGTTATTAGAATTCGTTCGATTAATAATATCTACAAGGTCTTTTACTTCTACTTCTTTACCTTTCAATTCCTTTTGTAAGGTTGCTTTTTCAGTAGAAATCTATTAAAATAAACATGTATATGGAACATAATGTTAGATAATCGTCTTCGATCTCATATCTGTTTAACACTCACTTCCTTAATTTGCATTTCTAATTGTTGCACCTTATCAGTCAACATTTGTTCAACACTATTCTTACTGTTTATTTCCAGCTTTAAATTTTCTGTAACCCTGATAAGTTCAACTTCAAGTTCTTCATATTTCTTTTTAATAGATGCAAGTTCTACTGATAACGATTCGTTCTGTAAAATACAGCATTGAAAATTAGATATACATGTAGAATAAAATATGTTACATAAAACATATATATCTCAATACTATATTTTGATACTACAGTTCATGACACCAACATTATAAAATATCTATAATTACAAACCTCAAGTTTATCAAATTCTAGCTGCGATAGACATATAGAATACAATATACAATTAAATACATACTCCTCTTCATAAAAACACAAATCGTATAATTTAAATACACATACATACCTCTTGAGTTTTAAGGTTTAAAGCATTCGTTAAAGACTCATTTGCAGCTTGTTGAACATTCAACCTAGTTTGTAAGTCTTCTACTGATTGAGCTAACGGGTTAACTTCATTGTTTGACGATAGGAATTCTCGTAACATTTTTTCTAATTCTAACCCGGCTTCAGTAGCACTTTCTAGGTCTTTCTCTAACATGGCTACTTGATCTTCCAACTCTGCTTTCGCATTCTATTAAAAATATTGCATTAAATTATTATGGATTTACCTATATTTACATATTATATTATTTACTTTGTTCGGATCCATTAATTTTTTACGGACGGTCTGCGGATGGTTGATCACGCATTTTTACGATTCTAGACATGTGACTATATATAAACAGATTACAAATAAAATAGATCACTCTCAAGTCTGACTTAAATTTTCTTAAAAGCAAGTTATATTCGTATTGAATTTCTTAAACAAAGCTTGGTTCTTTCAGAACATATTTTTGTGTGACTGCAGTCCTGTCCATAAAGGGTTAGTATTACAAAAGTTACCTGTGATGCTTCCAAGTCAGCTCTTAAAGAAAGCACCATTTCATCAGAACCAAATGATTCATCTTCCATGCAACTTAGCTGAAATTATTTGTGATAGGATAGATTCGTAGAAAAAGAAATAAAACAACATAAACATATAATTGCATTACCTTCCTTTTTGTTGATTTTAAATTTTCATTCACCATTGAACATTCTGCTTCAGAAATAAGTAAATCCTTTTCAAGTTTGTTGATTCTAGCTATCAGCTGTCTATCACTCCTCATATTCTATAAACATGTAAAATTAACACATTTATATATATACATTTTCTTAAACGTATGTATATTTGTATATTTAAATTCTGATATATAGTTGAAATATTTAAAAAATATTTATTTAGTACCTCAATACAGTAGTAGCCTAAGGAAAATATAAGTGTCGCAGTAGCAGTAACACTTAAATACATTAATGTCAACCAATAATTACTTTCAGTTTGTACTTCATCATCTTGAAAATTTTGTTCCTGTAATAAGTAACTAAATAATAAGTAACATATGAGAAATTTACAATTTATAATTATAATATTTTTAAAATAATTAACACTTACGTGATGTGGAAAATCATTTTGAATATCTTCTGAAGAACATTCAATGTTATCAGCTCTACAAACATTAGAAAATGAAGCTGAAAAACATAAATACATGTTAATCAAAATTATTTAAAAATATAATACTAATAACCATAACATAAATAATGTTATAGTTTTTTGTAAAAAAGGAAATAATTTTTCTACTGTACTTTTATGGAAATTATTTTCAGATATTGCTCCTGTCTCAGATGAAATGTCACCACTATTTGAATCAAAGTGAACATCTAAATTTGATTGATTCATAGTATCCTCAATATCTGAACTAGATTTAGGGTCTGATTCAGTTGCTCCATATTGTCCAGCAATATTTTTAAAAAACTGAATATTTTTCGTTTCAATATTCTCAGTAGGTGATGTCATTGATACTTCATTTTGAAAAATTGATTCAAATGATAAAGGTGAGTTATATTTGTCATTGCCAAGTTTATTCGAATCTTCAGTGTTTTCATTTTCTTCATCTTCTTTTAATTTATACTCTACTATTTCTAACTCTGTGACATTTTCTAAATGTTGAATATCATTTTTATGAACTACAATACTTTCTAACAAAGGGATATCTTTCGTTTCAAAATTATTAGAACTCTCTGCATTTTGTTCCTCTGATTTAATATCAGTTACATCTATTGTGACACTTTCTGAAGGCTTGTTATTTACTTCGATTTTATCAGAGATTACAGCACTTTCTACATCCGATTTTGTATCATTAGTCATAATTAATGTAACACTCTGTGAAGATTGAATTGCTTTTGTCTCACTTTTGTCAAAACTTTCTATATTTTGTTTATCTAATGTAGTATCATTAGTTTCATTTTCTGTTGTTACATTATATATATACATTTTCTTAAACGTATGTATATTTGTATATTTAAATTCTGATATATAGTTGAAATATTTAAAAAATATTTATTTAGTACCTCAATACAGTAGTAGCCTAAGGAAAATATAAGTGTCGCAGTAGCAGTAACACTTAAATACATTAATGTCAACCAATAATTACTTTCAGTTTGTACTTCATCATCTTGAAAATTTTGTTCCTGTAATAAGTAACTAAATAATAAGTAACATATGAGAAATTTACAATTTATAATTATAATATTTTTAAAATAATTGACACTTACGTGATGTGGAAAATCATTTTGAATATCTTCTGAAGAACATTCAATGTTATCAGCTCTACAAACATTAGAAAATGAAGCTGAAAAACATAAATACATGTTAATCAAAATTATTTAAAAATATAATACTAATAACCATAACATAAATAATGTTATAGTTTTTTGTAAAAAAGGAAATAATTTTTCTACTGTACTTTTATGGAAATTATTTTCAGATATTGCTCCTGTCTCAGATGAAATGTCACCACTATTTGAATCAAAGTGAACATCTAAATTTGATTGATTCATAGTATCCTCAATATCTGAACTAGATTTAGGGTCTGATTCAGTTGCTCCATATTGTCCAGCAATATTTTTAAAAAACTGAATATTTTTCGTTTCAATATTCTCAGTAGGTGATGTCATTGATACTTCATTTTGAAAAATTGATTCAAATGATAAAGGTGAGTTATATTTGTCATTGCCAAGTTTATTCGAATCTTCAGTGTTTTCATTTTCTTCATCTTCTTTTAATTTATACTCTACTATTTCTAACTCTGTGACATTTTCTAAATGTTGAATATCATTTTTATGAACTACAATACTTTCTAACAAAGGGATATCTTTCGTTTCAAAATTATTAGAACTCTCTGCATTTTGTTCCTCTGATTTAATATCAGTTACATCTATTGTGACACTTTCTGAAGGCTTGTTATTTACTTCGATTTTATCAGAGATTACAGCACTTTCTACATCCGATTTTGTATCATTAGTCATAATTAATGTAACACTCTGTGAAGATTGAATTGCTTTTGTCTCACTTTTGTCAAAACTTTCTATATTTTGTTTATCTAATGTAGTATCATTAGTTTCATTTTCTGTTGTTACACCTTCTGAAATTTGGATATGTTTTGTCTCAGTTTTATCAAAATTTTCTGCAGTTTGCATGTCTCTAGTATCATTGAGTACAGATATTTTAATAACCTCTGAAGATTCAGTATGTAGTGCCTTAATGGGGGTAGTACTTCCTGCATTTTGTACATCTAATTTTTTATCAGTTGCATGTATTGTGATACTTTCTGAAGGCTTGTCATTATTTGCCTCAATTTTATCAGAACTTGCAGCACTTTCTACATCAGATTTTGTATCATCGGTTGTAATTAATGTAACACTCTGTAAAGATTGAATTGCCTTTTTCTCACTTTTATCAGAACTTTCTATATTTTTTGTCTCAGTTTCATCCAAATTTTTTACATTTTGTACATCTCCAGCATCACTGGATGCAACTATTTTAATATCCTCTGAAGATTCAGTATGTAGTGCCTTAATGGGGGTAGTACTTCTTGTATTTTGTACATTTGATTTTTTATTAGTAGCATCTATTGTGACACTTTCTGAAGGCTTGTCATTATTTATCTCAATTTTATCAGAACTTGCAGCACTTTCTACATCAGATTTTGTATCATTAGTCGTAATTAATGTAACACTCTGTGAAGATTGAATTTCTTTTTTCTTACTTTTGTCAGAACTTTCTATATTTTTTTTATCTAATTTAGTATCATTACTTTCTTCTACTGTTACATCTTCCGAGGTTTGGATATTTTTTGTCTCTGTTTCATCAAAATTTTTTACATTTTGTACATCTCCAGCATCATTGGATGCAACTATTTTAATATCCTCTGACGATTCAGTATGTAGTGCCTTAGTGGGGTTAGTACTTCCTGTATTTTGTACATCTGATTTTTTATCAGTTGCATCTAATGTGATACTTTCTGAAGGCTTGTCATTATTTACCTCAATTTTATCAGAACTTGCAGCACTTTCTACATCAGATTTTGTATCATTGGTTGTAACACTCTGTGAAGATCGAATTTCTTTTTTCTCACTTTTGTCAGAACTTTCTATATTTTTTTTATCTAATTTAGTATCATTACTTTCTCCTACTGTTACATCTTCCGATGTTTGGATATTTTTTGTCTCTGTTTCATCAAAATTTTTTACATTTTTTACATCTCCAGCATCATTGGATGCAACTATTTTAATATCCTCTGAAGATTCAGTATGTAGTGCCTTAATGGGGTTAGTACTTCCTGTATTTTGTACATCTGATTTTTTATCAGTTGCATCTAATGTGATACTTTCTGAAGGCTTGTCATTATTTACCTCAATTTTATCAGAACTTGCAACACTTTCTACATCAGATTTTGTATCATTGGTTGTAATTAATGTAACACTCTGTGAAGATCGAATTTCTTTTTTCTCACTTTTATCAGAACTTTCTATATTTTGTTTATCTAATCTAGTATCATTACTTTCTCCTACTGTTACATCTTCTGAGGTTTGGATATTTTTTGTCTCAGTTTCATCAAAATTTTTTACATTTTGTACATCTCCAGCATCATTGGATGCAACTATTTTAATATCCTCTGAAGAAGTGGTACTTTCTGTACTTGGTATATCTGATCTCTTATCAGTTGCATTTATTGTGACACTTTCTGTAGCCTTTTTATTATTTGTATCAATTTTATCAGAACTTAATGCATTTTGCATGTCTGATTTAATATCACTATCTATAATTGTTTCATGAGAATTGACATTATGTTCTTCACTTAAATCAACTATTTCTTTAGTTTCAATATTTAATGTCTTCTTAGAATCAGTAGGAGTTTGAAAATTGATGGTATCAATAACTTTTAAACTTTTATTATCTTTCACATTAGTAATGAAGTTATTTTTTACATTTTCTTTTGTATAATCTTCTTTATTAGAAATTGTACTTATATTTAATGATGAACTGTGTATACCGGATGTATTGGATAAATTTAATTTTTCTTCAGAATTTGTTAAAAAATCATGATCAACTTTAGTAAGAACAGCTTGCTCCTTATTTTGTAGTTTGTCATGTGTAGCTTTATCAACTGTAGCTTCGTCAACTGCAGCTTTTTTATTTGGCACTACCATTGCTTCCTTAATTTCTTTCATAAAATATGGTTTCATAAAAGGCTTATTATGATTATCTTGTATTTTTGTAGTCTTAATATCCTTGTTATCAAACACTGATTTATTTTTATTTTTCTTAGACTGAAATTTCTTATTAGACTGAACATTATTACCAGATAATGGATCAATAGGTACTTCATATTTCAAGTCTTTCTGTAAAATTTTATATTCTTTCAAAAATGTTTTTGATATAAATCCATGTTTACCTTTTATCTAAAATTAATAAAAATCTTTTGAAATATTTACATAAACATATCATTTTTACAGTAAAAGATAGATAAAATATTATAAAATAAATTAACACATTTTCATTCGTTTTGTCATCATTCATTTTAGACTGTATTATTTCAATCAAAAAAATTTATGTATGAACATTTTTATTTCTGTAAGTAACATTTTAATAATATTACCAATATAATGGTATATATAATGGAGATTTAAAAAATAGAACTTAAATAAAAATTACCTCTACACCCCATAAGTCATTTCTCTTGCCTGCTTCTTTACTATAAACTGTGACTTCATCACCAATATTAACTGATAATAACCCTGCTTCATTTGGAGTATATGTAAGCGTTGTTCTAGCTAATGAAACAGGCACTATAAAAAAAATATCATTAAATAATTTACATGTATTAAAAAAGATTTTAAATTAGATACATATTGAAGATAAAGTACGGCTTCAATTACCGGAACAGTCAGGATCATAACATAGCCGTTTGTCTGATAAAACTGAGGAACATTGTGATATTAGACTAAATATTATTGCAATAACTAGAAATAATACGTTAATAAACAAATTTTTCTCCGTCATATTTCTACTATTGCAGTTCCACATCACTACTAACATATAATGACACAGCCTTCGACGCACATTTTATCCGTGAAGTAGTCTTTAATAAGATGGTTCGTTGAAAGGAATATTTAATATTGGTCTGAGATGAACACTAACTATACTTCACAGTTTGATTGGTAATTGTGTTCAAACAAAATTCAAAAAAATTTATACAATTATCAAAACCTTCAATTAATTACATTTTTTCATATTTTTACATATTTTTGAATTTTTAATATGCGTAATTTAGACTGAAGAAATATTATACTTAATAATGACGTGTAAATAATCAGTACGTATACATTAAAAACAAAGGGTACCAACTGAAACAGAATTGTATAAATTCTCAATGCACTTATTATTACGTGTCTACTAAATTCAGAACACATGCGCAAAAGTCGCGGATAGATGTCTAATACGCGTTTATTGTGGTACTTGAAGAAAAAGTTATTCAATATTTTAATGTGTGATGTTTAATCTCTAAATGTGATTCAAATTTTATTAAAGAAAGAAAAGAAAATTTTACGAAAATAAAATAGAAACTCTAATTTTTAAATCATTATTTTTTCTTTTATTAATTTTACTTAACATTGTTATAGTATAAGAAGTAAAATTGATTGCATTTAAAATATGAATGTTGCATTTGCATAATGAAGTAATAATTTTTAACAAAAATTACTATTTTAATGTATTTTATACTATAAAAATTAATAATATAGAATTTGTAATTTTGAAATCTCGGTAACAATAAAATTTAATTACTATTATACCAAATTTTGTAATAATTTTGTTTAATACCATTATTAATGGTGTTGGAAATAATGTGATATGAATATAAAACTGCAAGATTAAGTTAAATTTAAATAGTACTATGAAAATTATAGTTTAATAAGAATAAAAATTGTAGTAATTTTTCATTTAATGATAAATGATTAAATATAAAAAAAAAGCATTGCAATATGCCATCTACATGATTATTATAATGTGCTATATGTAAGTGCTGCTCTCTGTAGGATACATGAGAACTAACAAACTTCTAACGTTAACCTACTCTAGCTCTAAATTAATCCTAATCCAACCAAAACTTAAGTAGATTGGTGTAATACTTATATGTATTGAGACAGGATTTTCTCGAGTCAAGTTCAGATTAGGTTAGGTTAGTATTACTAGCATCACTATCAATATTATTATTGCCAGTACGTTAATTTCAACGTGGAAGTTACTATATAATTTGCTATATTTAGTAGTTTGAAAGAAAGAGTTACATTATTTCTTCACGTAACCCCTGTAGAGCATAATTTACAATATTCAGGTTAAAATGATAGTTTAACAGACAAGTTATTGACCAAAGATCAGTGAGTGTGTAATATGTGTGAAAAGAATAATCGAAATAGGTTGGAATGCTTTATTTGATCTGTTATTCTGGATTCTCTCTTCTGATTTAGTTGTAACAAATTACTTTTAAAAATTTCGGCGGCAAAAGTGTAGTGCCACCTAGAGTATGTTCATCGTAGTTAGGTAGAGCTTGCTTTTGTCAATTATCAACGTTTAAATTTAAAAAATCGTAAGTACATTTCATATTAAATGCTTAGAATAAAAACTCAATTTATTATTCTTTCTATACTTTTTATTTAAAGAGAAATCTCATGAATCAGTTCGAGTATTAATTATCACTCATAATAATCATCTTAAACATTTACAATATTACGAATATATTTCTACTTTCTAATATAATATACGGTGATATCTACTGTTTATACTATAATCAATACATCAGTATACGTTTATCTAAGAAAAACATTATTAGATGTTACTTATAATCACAATATACTAAATTATTCGAAATGGTTATAAGCGTTGAATTTCTATAGCCGAATCTAAAAATTTAAATGAGGTTATGATATTACCGTACGTTACTTTTCTATGATTGAGAACATACAGTTTGCAACAAATGTTTTTATTTTGTTTTTATTAAATGAAAAAAGAATGATTCAATAAAATAGACATTACATGTATCTCTATTTTGTAACATTTACTCAATTGCATGATTTATTTTTATGTTGCAGGAAGCCGATGAAACAGTGGAACATTTATCGCTATGGTGGAACTACCGAGACTTGCTTTGGACATTTCAGTTCCTCCAAAAGCTCTTGCACGTCGTGGCGGTGTTACTATTTCTGAAGATATCATCTTGACATTTCTCCAGGTAAGTACATTTGTTTCTTTTTATTCTTTATTATTATCTTGCATTTTGAATTATAATTGGGAATAACATACAACACATTCAACCATTCATATAGATATATTCCAAATCATCACAAAACAAGATATGTATATACACTGTCGGTAACTGTGAATTTTACAGGACGTATATCCAACAAAATTTATTTTCGAATCATCGATTAGGTCTCATAAAAAAAAATTGTATATAAATGGAGGTAGCTTTTTTAAAAGTCGTAATTAGAATTTAAAATAGATGAGGGTAATGAACGAAACTGTTGGTATTATAGGAAGGAATATATATCAATAAAACACAATATTTCTGATGAGATCGATTCACGGAGTCTGTAGTAACTCAGTACCCAAATATTTTTGGAGAATGTGACGTCAGGTATAATTTATGATAGAAGTAAGTTCGTTTCACAATCTTTGTATTACGCACACTATATAATCGCGTTACGTTTGACTGCGAACGAACGTGTGCTATTGAATATATCGGCAACGTTAAATTAATAATCATAAATCTATGAAAGGATTTTATAGATTTGACGAAAATAGTTATCGCATTTAACGTTAATACTTTATGATAGCTTGATAATAAGTAAGAATCGTCTTATTACTGATCTCTGTCACCTCGTCTGGAAAGATTACATCCTTTTATTAGGACTATGTTATAGACGTTAGGATATAAATTTGGTTAAGGGTTAGATAGACGTTTTGTAAAGAAGGAACTTGATATCATTGAATCAGATAATCAGTAAATTGTCTCGTTTCGAAATATAATAATTTGAATCACTAGATTTTCTAATTATCATTGACCAATAATGCTCCTAAAAGACGTCTCACTTACTAAATTTTTCTCAGTGATACACTTAGAATAAATAAATGTACAAATACAAATATGAACAGATATTGTTTCTTCAGAATTATATATTCCAAAAAGCTGGTTAATCGTCGGTAGTCTCCTTACTGTTCCTTGGATACTCGTAAATGACGAATAATTTCAGGTTCAACCCTTCAATATTTCATCATGAAATTCATTTCAACAGAAATGTATTTAATATTAGTCGAGGCGAATAAAATTAAAAGAGTATACTTTCTTTTTATTCATATTACTTCTTTATGCTCGATAAGCATTTTGAACTTAAGTTCACAGCGAAGAATCCACGGGAAGCATTGCAAGAACTCGGTACGACCTCCTGGGACCTTATCGTCGGTGTACGAAATTTCCCAATAGGGATGCCGCGAGTAGCGGTAGCTCTTGGACTTAATGACTATTGCAAATGGGGGCTAGAGGCAACGATGCTCGAGACTATACAGTCTGATATAAAAGATCTTCGATTCTGAAAGCAATTGCGTACAATGGTTGCTGATTTTCCACTCTGATGTCTTCTACAAAAATTATACGATGATTATTGGTTGTATAGAAAGAGAAAAAAGAAAAAAGGAAACAAAATAAAGGTGAAAAAGTGGGATGATCGAAATGGTCTAAGGGAGAAGCTGGAATAACGGGAACAGCAACGAACCTCCTTTCACATGGAAGAGAAGGTGCGCTTCAGGTGCGTGAAGTTGGGATCGATATTGCAAGCGACTCCCTGGGCCATGACATGCCCCTGCGGCAGCCATCGACTGCACGCGATTGTGCTAAAATTAAATGATGAAATTCATTCCTTCTTTCTCTTTCCTGATCCTTTTCGTTTTATTCTCTTCCCTTTCCTTTCTTTTTACGAATCCTTATCTTTTCCTTTTCCTCTCCTGTATTCTTTATATTTATTTCTCTCAAGCACCTCTGACTGTTTTCTTCTTCCCACTTCTTCCTACGTATCATATTTATAACCTTGTTTTTCTCCATTGTCATTGTCTTTGTTTCCCTTTATTTCAGTTTTCCAGCTTGCCTTCTGTCTTTGTCTCTTATTTTTCCCTCATGTTATTCTGTCTTCTAACATCATACATTTGCTACTCGTTGATTTCTGCTGTTTTCATCTCTTTATAGTTTTCTATATTTATATATATATATTTTTTTTACCTTTATTTATATTTATTTCTATTCCTTCGTTTCCCACTTCATCAGCATATTTCGCGTTGTACCATCACGTCTTTGATGCTTTATGTTAGTATATTTTCTTTTTCGGAAAAAGAGGGAAAGAAATTTTCTTCGTCCTTTTTCTTTAGTCTCTTCATCTACCTTTCTTTCTCATCATCGTCTGGCTTTTTTTCTTTCGTCATCCGCATTCGTGTCACGAAACATGTGCGACGTCTTATCAGTGACGTAATGCAGACCATGTCATTCAGGAAGCAGTGTGCGTAATCGTCCTTGGCGCAATCTGTAATGCAAACGGCCTGAGAATTACATTTATAAGTGGTGCACGCACTTCTTAGCCTCGCGTTACTTTAATCGTACCTTTAATTCTTTTTTATCGTAGAGATTTTAATTAAAATTATTGCTCAACAGACTCCTAGCAATTTTACTAAACGAGTGTCCTTAATACGTTTCATAGTCTGTAGATGTTGAACGATAATCATACGAAAATTACTAGATAATTTATCTTTCATATTTAAAGTGCTGTTGTATAGTCAAAAATATTCCTCAATTTTCCTCAAGTAAGATTCCCATGGAATTAGATCAGAGTATGAAAAATTAAATTACCAGAATTTTCTATGTATATTAGAAAGTAATTTGTCTTCAATTAATAATTGATAGGTGCTCGATAATATATTTCGAGGTCTAAGGTAGGTCGTGTGGTGCATTTAAATCTGGAAAAATGAAATGCGTGAGAGGAATCGAATGAATCAGGAAGAAGTAGAGTATTATATTAAAGAGAACAGAATTTTTCTAGATTGATGTCAGAGTTTTTTTAAATAAATTGAAGTACCTTTAGTTTTATCGGGCGTGTATAATATTTATAACCACGCGTTTGATATTTTACTGACATGGCGGATGATTCCTTAGGTCAAATCAATTAACCCTGCGAAAATGCAACGTTTGCACGCGATATGGCTAAATTTAAACTGACCAGCTCCTTGGCACCTGCACGTGCATTTCTGCGTGACGTTTACTAAAATCAGCTTCATAAATGTAATCATTATGGAAAACGCGATTCAGTTCTACGAAGGATAATATTTCCTATAATGGCTCGTTAATACGTATTTTGCTTTCGTTTGTTTTCCGGAATAAACATCGTATTCACCATTATTTCTTGCATCTATTTAAAGCTGGAAATTGTAAAGGAACTCCAACGAATCGAATACTTTTACGGTTATAAAAATAGATTGTTTACTCCGCTATCTATCGGTCGATTAACCGATCTCATTAAACGTTCAACGACCACTGAATCGAATGTCCCGATCGTTAAGTAGAGACCGACATAATCGACCATCGAATATTGCGAAAGAATTACCAAAAGCGTGTTGCATGTACGTTCGTATATTCGGTGTAGAGTGTGTTAGAAAGTTGGAAATGTCGGTCGCTTTATCTCGAGAGAAGCCATCGAGAAAGAAAATTGTCAATTGTCAAACCTAAACGTCGCCTCGTATCGACTATATGCGGCACCGCGACCCGGTTCTCAGGCAGCGCTGTCTTCGGTGATTCTCGCACACGTTCGTGAGCGTTCGGGTACTTCTAGACGAGTGTCTTCTTCGGTTCGAGTCTCATTGATCTCTCGGACGCGGTTGCGCGCAATGGTCGGCAGACGGCGGTGGTACTGCCGTCGACCAATCAGCTGTCGTGATTCCCTGGCTACGCTTGAGTCTCGTGGTCCTTGGCTAGCCGGTCGCCTCTTGTTGTTTTCCATCGTGGGCTTCTCTAACCCGTTCGGTTGTTCGGTGGTGCGGCGCCAGGCGCGTTACCAACGCCGCTAAACATCAAACGTGTTCGCCAGGAACGTGATAAAAAAACGTGTCGACGACGGCGGTCACGACGCGGACGACAATTAGTAGCGACGTCCTCGGTGACAAGGTTCGAGCGGACCGTACGCCCCCTTCTTGTCGCCGCCGTCACCATGATACCGTACTCCACGTGCTTGTCTTTTGGGGGCCGACGCGACGCTCGTCGCTGGG